TTACTGTCTCCATCTACCATTGTGTAAACCAATTCTCCATAAAAAAATCTCCTCTAGAGAACACTGACTAATACCCAGTGTCATTCTAAATAAGTCTCAAAGATCCCCATAGTTACATGAAACACACTTTGAGAACTGCTGTCCTAAATAATCCCACAAAAAATTTAAAAATTACCTAAATTCATAAATTTGTAATTCATCACTGTTCTTCTTTAATATATGCATTTTCTCCTTTGTCGTTTATAGGCCTTTCCAGTTTAGATTACAAATAAAAATGTGTCAGTAAGAATTAAATGAGAATTAATGGTAAGAAACAAAGTTTCCACTAGAAATTTAAATACCTTATAGAAAGACATAATTTGATTATCAAATTATATAATTATAGAGAAATAAAACTACAAACTAACATGTTGCATAGTTCTATAACATTACTAAGGTTTAAAATTATTCACCCCTTACATAAAGTAGAAGCTTATCCTTTATAGCTGTGGCATAAATGTCACATGGTAACAAAAATTTAAATAGGATATAGATTGAAACAGAACTCTCCTTACTTTGTGAGAGACAATGTAATAAAACCTAATTATTTCTCCTGTCATATTCACTGAGGCCACCCTGATTCAAAATCACAGTCTGAACAAATAAGTCAACCCAGAGGTCCAGGACCAACAGACCCAAATCAAAAGCTCTTTCACCTTGCGGTATGCCATTTCTTCAAATTTCAAAAGCTTCCTAGTCCAAGAGTAATAAATCTTCGAAGTCTAGCTCTTTCAAATGCCTATACATGAGAATAGATTATAAAATACCTTATTTCATCAGTGTCTGGTACTTTAGTGTAAGGTAGAATAGCTCGTACACGCCTTCTATCTTCTACTGGCTAGAAACCATAAAAAAAAAAAAAAGGATTTAAAAAGATAGTCTTTTTTATCTTAAAGGCAAAAGAGGTATATCCACATAAAGCCAATAAAAATTCACATTAGAAATTCCATGGGATCATTCAAATACATTTTTACTTGGACTACAAATATGCAGTGCCTAGAAAGCCTTTTTTGTTGTTCTTGTTTTTATGAAAATTATATTTTAAATATAAGCAATATGCTTTTATAAGGTAATATGAATGATTTCATTTTAAATATACTACATGAAACATATGAGTTAACCTTTCATTGATGATACACAAGGCATTTCAGAATCTTGCAGCAAAGTCACGGTTAGTACTATGAAATCAGTAATTTCTTCTCATACATTCAGAAGTATTTGTTAGGCTATCACCAAACAGTACTTTTTTTTAATGTGGTTACTTAAACACAAAATTACTGAAAAATATTTTCTTTTTTTTTCAAAGAAGTTGTCCATTTTGTTCTGACATTATAACCCAAATTAAAATTTAATACAACAAATACTTCTTGAATTATAATAAACATAAGAAACTGAGCAATAGCTAAACCCACTATTGTACTGAAAACAAAGTTTTGAAAAATATTTTATTCATTTTACTTGCCTCTGGTGGTGCAACTGGGTAAAGTAATTTTTCTCCTTTAAGCAAACAAGAGACATGACTGTAATAACCTATTAGGTCTGACAGTGAAGAAAAACGTCTTCCACCAATGTAGTAATCTCCACACATAGCAATAATCCTATTTGAACAGGAAAAAATACAGTATAAAAAAATCTTTACAGTCAATTTTAAAGACCGAGTTTCATAAAGAAATTATAAATCCATAATTTCCATACTCTTTTCCTTGTAACTATATCCTTATACTAAAATACTACTTATTAATATCTTCATCACAGCAAATTACTTGGGGCTATTTCTCTTACATATATGCATGCATTTGATATGAAATACGTATCAGGCTTATAAACCTCAATTACAGAATTCCATCAAATATTTGAAAATTCACCCTCAGATACCTCTTCTCACTTTCCATATTTAAGGCTGAATTCACAATGTTAGTAAGTTTTCTCTGGCTTAAAGGACCTCACAGATCTCTTGAAATATTTCAAGAGATATATTTATCTCTTGAAAGATATTTTGAAATCTTGAAAGATTATCTCTTGAAGAAATATTTTAAGAAATATATATATCCAACAAAGTACAGGAATAATTTCACATACTACATGTGGTATCATGGTACTACTGAACCTTATTTTAAAATCTAAAAACCAAGGGTACAAAAACATTTTATCATTTAACACTATATGCATTAGATGATTTTTTTCAATTTCTTCTATAAAAATGAAATAGAATACAATATGGGTAAATATGTTTATATATTCAGAATATTTGTACTTGAAAATTTATATGCCTGTTTCACTGAAGTGCATGTCTGCAAAGAGTTTTAGAACAGTGAAGCTAAAATAGAGGACACAAAATTTGAGTTTTAAACAGGGTTTCCTATACTCTTTGTTATTCTACAGTCTAAAAGTATACAATTCCTTTATTTTAGACTTGTCGCTCAAAGTTTATTTGTAATTCTTTATACTTTAAAAGCTATAAATATATTTGAGGATCAGCACAGTAATGCCCAAATATACTGTTTTTAAACAAAAAATGTAAACATTCAAAAGAATCTCTCTAAATCACTGATTAAATCATTTGACTGAAAACAAGCTTCCTTCTCTATTATTTGTTACTGAGTCATTCACCTTTATTATACCGGTATATTTTTGAATATTATATCAAAATAGCTACACCATTTGGCTTCACAATAGGAATAAAGACTTACCTAAAATGGTTGACAACATTCATCTGGCTAAGAAATGAAAGTACAAAGGACCCTGGCCTTCGATCACTCTCTCTTATAAGGTAACTGCCAGACTTCCCTGCCTGCCTGAGGCGTTCTTCTGCTATTGTTCTGTCAAGTTTTCCGTGATACCACCTAGGGGAAAAACAGAGAAGATATTACAATATAATAGCAAGTGTAAAATTTCTAGTGATACTTGAAAAACATACTACTAGAGGTTTTAAATGCCTACATGTAACTTAAACATTTACATTTTACTCTGAACCAGTTATTCCAATTTTAACTCAATTCAACCTCAGTCTCTCAAAAAATACTCATTTACTTGGTCTTTAATTTGTTCTAAAAGCTCAGTTCTAGTCATCTCATATATAAATCTCTTCCATTTCTACCCATCTCCCTACTTCCAGGATTGCCTGCTATTCAAAATATAAACACTACTGCAACCAAATCCTTACTTAGAAAAATAAGATAAACAAATGGAAATGATGAATTTACTACCTCGATCTTATACTGAGGAACCATGACTTCACAAGGCACATGGAACCTATGAGAATATAAAATGTTTTATTCCATTTTAGTGTTTGTGCCCTGAGACAGGAAAACAGAATTACACTGTCTAAAGGATGCTATTTTAATTTCCTGTTTGAACATGAAGCTGATTGATCCCTTTGGCTCTAAGATAATCTACTCCATGACTATACATTTTACATTTGCACTCAACTTTCCAAATTTATTTAACAAACATTTGGGGGAATAAATAGCACCTTTGTCCCTTCACCCTTCTTGCTCTCAGTTTAACTGTATTCTACCTACATACTATCAAATGATCTACTTGAGAAACTGGCTATAACTCTAGCATCATCCATGATACCAAGTATGCCTATAAAAGCCTCATAGACTGATATAAACAGAAACATGCTTAGAAATATACTAGAAGTATCATACACGCATGGTAACAAATCTCCAAAGTAACTGTTATAAAATATTTTTACATTTTTCATAGTTTAGTCAAACTCATCCTTAGATACTTACAGCCTAATTTGAAACATTCAGAGAAAAACAACAAACATTCATATTACATTGATATATTAAATTATGTAACATATTATAGTACTTCAGCTTTACCACTCAGTTTATTTGTAATCTTACATTTGTAATAATGTAGTATGTATTTTATATAATATATAATAAGCCAATGATAAAAGCATTATGCTACTATGACTATTTTTGTAAGCTTGTTGTAATAAAAGCTCATTCTTTTTGACACCTTAATTTTTAAAAATAAAACAAAAACACAGAAACTTAAAACTTATGGAAAGAATCACTTTTAGTTTTCTTCTAAAATCAACCTATTTTAAATAGAGCCCTATGCATAAGGCTGAAAATAATGAACTTATTTATAGAGTTCCATTACAACTTAACAAAAAATATAATTGTAAACTGTTAGTATTAGAGGAAGAAGGGAAAGAGCAATCAATACTGCATTCCTCTAAAATCCTAATCTTAGTTCAGCCATCATCTTTGAGACAAATGACAAGTAATTTTAACTTTCAAGAGCTCAGGGATTTTTTTATTCTAAAATGGAAAGTTTACACCAGAGATCATAAAGGTCCCTTGAGGAACTATAATTTAACAACATAAGAGAATAAAATTTTGAAATTTCAGGCTGTAAGTTTAGCTGTGAAAATATAAGGGATATCCTTAGGTTATCCTTAGAATATGAAACTAGTGCTTTCCTCATTACTTAAAGCAGTAGAACTATCCCAGAAAGCAGATTTATATACCCAACAAAGATAAAATTAAGGACAATTTTAAGCAAATCTCTATTTTTGTGTACTTGTTATTTGTTAAATTTCTGTTCTGTCTTACGCAGTGTCAAGATGAAAAGGTTTTATTTAATCTCCTTAATCTTTTGAACTTACCATGAAATGATACACAGAGATACAGGAGGCATTACACAATTACTATTTTACAATAAATATCTGACTTACAATTTTAAGTGATATATACGTCTATTTGTGGTTTTTAGTTGTTTTTGCTTTGTTTTGTTTCAGATGGGGGTCTCACTTCGTCACCCAGGCTGGAATGCACTGGTACAATCTCAGCTCACTGCAACCCCCACCTCTCGGGCTCAACCCATTTTCTCACCACAGCCTCCCAAGTAGCTGAGACTGCAGACACACGCTACCATGCCCAGCAATTTTTTTTTTTTTTGTAGAGACAGTGTTTTGCCTGTCACCCAGGTTGGTCTCAAATTCCTGGACTCAAGCGATCTGCTCACCTCAGCCTTCCAAAGTCTGGGATTACAGGTGTGAGCCACCACACTGAGCTGATTTTTTACATCTATGTACTTTCAGTAAGATCTGAGCATTCAAGTGGATAAGTCAGTTCAGGAGAAAGACATTAATCTAAATAAGTAAGTATTTCCTACATGTTAGCAATTTCCTTTCATGTTAAAAGGTCATAAGCTTCAAACACGTAAAGCAAAACATGTCAATTCTTGATTATGACTATAAACTGCAATTAAATTATCCAGCCATCAGCTTGTAAACATTTATGTAGTTGATTTGATCCTTAAATGTTTTATGAATACATCACAATAAATCCAAAGTTATAAGATTTGATTCAGACACCTTACAGATTTATAGAACCTAGGTAAAATACTATATAACCTTTAAACACCAGTCCTTGGGTTTACTCAAAAACAGTATTTCTCAACCTTTTTTTAACCCACAATCTTTCATAAATATAAAAATTTTACCCTACTGAGAGATTCGGAGTCCCTAAGGTGGCTGCCCTGCACAGAGAATCATACATTCTAATTAGCCCCAGTAGCCAAGAAAATGTTGTCTACCTTAACTTTCTGAAGTCTGTAATTCTTTTTATTCTAGGTATAAAATATATGGGATATGCCTTTACAAAATATACTCTCAATAACAAAGATATAACTTTCCCAAGAGTGAACACTTTGGGAGTGGCTGTCTAAAATACTCAATTTTTTAAAATGCTACACACACTTTCTGCCTCTACAAATAGTCACAGCAATAGAATTACAAAGAAATAAAAGAAAACATATTTAATCAACCCCACTATTACTCTTAAGTCTTCACAGTCAAAGTCTTATTATATCTCTTTAAGAGCAGATTTGCTGGTGACTGTTTTCATGTAAATTAAAAAAATAATTCAACTGGAATCTAGAATACCTCAAAGAAACATAAGCACAAAAGTTATACTGGTGGTATGAGAATACTCTAACATGAGATTACCAAATAATAGCTCATCACCTAAGTTAAAGTTTATAAATCTGCTCACATTTGTGGCAATTATAGCACAGAGTATACCTGGCACATAGCAATAATAAGTTTTAAAAATACTTGTCCAATGAAGGAAGAAGTGTTGACTCATAAAACAACATTGAAAAATACTTTATAAGTCATCTAGTTGAACCATCTTGCCAATGTAAAAAACAAAATAAAACAAAAACCTCTTTTTTAACGTCAACATAGGAAGTTCTCCTTTTTTTTATTTTGGAAACAGAGTCTCGCTCTGTTACCCAGGTTGGGGCGCAGTGCCATGCTCTCATGGCTCACTGCAACCTCTGCCTCCTGGGTTCAAGTGATTCTCCTGTCTCTGCCTCCCAAGTAGCTGGGATTACAGATGCGTGCCACCACATCCGGCTAATTTTTGTATTTTTAGTAGAGACTTGTAAATTAGGGAAATTAATTTCTATCTCAACCTCAGAATAAAATTAATGACTTGTCCTAAATTGCTTTAAAAAAAAAATACAAAAATGAAAACTACTACGTAGGCTTTATAGTAGAACGGTTAAGACTCTAGAGCCACTGTCTTTGAATCCCAGCTCTGCCACTGAGCTGCGCAAATGTAGGCAGATATCTCCGAGCCTCAGTTTCCTCATCTATAAAAGGAATAGTGTCTACCTCACAGAACATTGGCTTATTATTATTAAATGAGCTAACACATATAAAGTTGCTTAGAAGAATACCTAATGGATACCAAGAACCTAGTAAATATTAGCTTAATTATTATCAAACCAGTATCACAGGGGAATAGAGGATACTCAAAGGCTATGGGACTGACTAATAAACTTCTTCAAAAAAACTAACACATTTTATGACTGTTGCGTAATAGGTGATCAATCTGTGAATCATCTTAGTCTCAATTACCTATTTTCCAGTCTTGTTTACTTTCCATGTAATTTGGGGAAGAGGACAGAAGAAATCAATCTTTTTTTTTTACTAAGGCATTAACTTTAGGAGGAAATTTTCTCAAAACTCTTTTTGAACATTATAAAGCATTCAAATTAATTGGGGCTGCAGGTGCCATACTATTAATAAACTAGAAATTCTATTTCACCTGGCAACTCTAGAAGGAAACCCTCAAAGAACCCCCATTTCTTTTCCCAATGTGTGCATATTTTGGGGGTTGGGGGGCAGTACAAAGGATAGTAGGTACTTGAGATACTATGACTTAAAACTGCTTAATGCAACACGTTAATAATAAAGCATTTATGTCCTCCTATTTTAGAAGTAAATTTCCCTCTCTCTTCTTCCTTGCCTAAGGAAACTGGGGAAAAGGAACAGCAGGAGGAAATTCAAGAAGTACATACATGTCTTCCCAGCTAGCTTTGTAAATTTTTGTTGAGAAATTTTACAGGTAGATATGGAGTTCCTTAATTTCATTTTTTTAGAAATACAAATCAATTTATATACAATATCATACATCTAAGATAAAACTGCATGTGAAATAAGTGAACAATTTAAAAAAAGGCACAGAAATCACTCTATTTTAAATTTGGAATCACATGAACATTTTTTATAAATGTGTGCTGTGGCCAGGCACAGCGGCTCACGCCTTTATAGACCAGCACTTTGGGAGGCTGAGGAGGGGACTGCTTGAACCCAGGAGTTCATGACCAACCTGGGCAATATGGCAAAACCCCACCTCTACAAAAAATACAAAAATTAGCCAGGCATGGTGGCACAAGCCTATGATCCCAGCTACTCGAGAGGCTGAGATGGGAGGATAGCTTGAGCCTGAGAAGTCAAGGCTGCAGTGAGATAAGATCATGCCACTGCACTCCAGACTGGGCGACAGAGAGAGACCCTGACTCGGGGGAAATAAAAATGGGGGTGGGGGCTGCTGCATATTGCTGGAACACATTTGAGGGGCCCTAGTGAGGCCTTTGTGTTTTATAATCTGTCTCACTTGATCAGAGAAAAATATGTAAATTTGTGCAATAAGAAAATATCCTAGTGTGAATGCAGACAGGCATTTCATTGAAACTATACAATTATTTACAACTCACTTGACAATCCCAAATGAAAACTGTCTACTACACAACAGAAAACCATTAAACCACTGCTAACATCAGTAGACTTCCTTTTATAAAAAGAAAACTAAATTGAAGTTACCAGCAGATCGCTTTTACTGTCCACTTGTTTTTCCTTTTGGTTATATTACCGACAGGCACCAAAGTAGTTACAGAGAAACATACATGCAGAAATCCAATTGCCAAGAAATCTTTTGCATCTGAATCACTTGGGAGTCTGTGTGCCTGATCATACTACAAACTTCTGGAGTTATTCTGCAAGTCTCAAAATGCTAATCAGACTTTCTTACACATGCTTGTGTCTTCTAAAACTAAATTGGTGATTTCAAGTTGGTATGCATTTGCTAAAACATAGAAATCTTCTAAAGCTCCCATAATTATGTGTAACTAATACATTCTTACTGTCTGTGATATGGTTTGGCTGTGTCTCCACCTAAATCTCATCTCACATGTTGTGGGTGGGACCTGGTGGGAAGTAACTGAATTACGGGGGCAGTTACCCCCATGCTGCTGTTATTGTGATAGTGAGTGAGTCCTCATGAGATCTAATGGTTTTATAAGGGGCTTTTCCCCCTTTTGCTCAGTACTTCTCCTTGATGGCACTATGTGAAGGACATGTTTGCTTCCCCTTCTACCGTGATTGTAAGTTTCCTGAGGCCTTCCCAGCCCTGTGGAACTATGAGTCAATTAAGCCTCTTTCCTTTATAAATGACCCCAACTCGGGTTTGTTTTTGTTAGCATCATGAGAATGGACTAATACAGTCTGCTAAAGGTTTTTTTTTAAAAAAAAAAAAAAAAGCAACTGATTTCTTAAAGTGAAGAGGAAAGTAAAGAAAATTTATCTCATACTAAGTGACTTCACTTGGCATTTTTTCAAATCACTATGATACACTAAAATTGGGTCACTGGCAAATTCACTTGAACAACCACTAGGCTAAGCAAAACAGGTGTAGTACCCCTTAGACCAACTATGCATCACTTAAACTTGGGGAAGGGGAAAAGAGAGCATGTTTTTATCTTAGCTATTCTTGGGTATATTTGTATATATCCAGATAGCTAGAGTGTTAATGTATGTGTGTGTGTGCACATGCGTGCATGTGTGTATGTATTTATCTCAGATCAAGTTAGTTCAAAGTAAGGGCAGAAATGCTGTTTCCTTTTTCAATAGGTAATGTATTTAGAGAATCCAAGAGGTTTTAGTTTTGAGAGAGCATTTCTAAAGAAACAGCACTATCATACATTCTGTCCACCCAAAATTAACTAAAAGACTAACATACAAAAGGTGAGAATACAAAAGTTTACACTGAAATGCACTCAACCATGATTGTGAAGTTCTTACTACCTTTAACTCCCATCACCCTAGTAAACAGATAATGAAGGGAAGAAAAAAACCACACCTCTCCAAGAAATGTTATGCACTAATCAAATGTTGCGAGGGAGGAGGAAAAGGGAGGGAAGGCTAGCACAATACCTACTAGCAGGAGGCTAAGATCAGTTAATACAGCATATTTTCAATCTCTTTTATCTGTGTACTTTAAATTCTCAAAATGGTATAAATTCTTATAGTTGGGATTTTCTTAGAACTTCAACAATTAAACATCATACCATTCAGCACATGAAGACAAGAAATTACTACATCTGAAGGTTAAAAGTAAACTTTAGTCTAACATTGTCTCTTATTTAGTTCATCTCCAACAAACTATCTGCCAAGCAGTGTGCTACATGGTAGACGATAACAGTAAATACCACAGAACACCATGATGTGTAAGTTTAGGATCCAATGGAGAAGACATTCAAATTAAGCAACTGTAATCTGGTAAGGTAAGTAAGAGGATACACAGGGATACAAAAAAATACCTGTCTCAGTCTTAGAATTTTAGCATACATTTCCTGAAAGAACTGATGGCTAAACTGATGGCTAAACTGATTTGGAAAAAGGGAGGGACTGAGAAGGAAAGTGAGAAAAACGTAACAGGCAATGGGAAAAAGCACAGGCAAAAAAAAAAAAAAAAATGACTTATCAAAAGATATATAGCCATAACAATACCCTAAACATTCTTCATAATATACTTTACAAATCTAATTCCCACCAAGTAAAATGGAAAGAATATAAGTTTATAAGTAGACATGTTACCTTACTTGCTGAATACAGACATATTACCTTACTTATGGAATTTCTTTCAATTCCTCAAACTGAAATATGCCTCAAAGAACATTTTAAAAGTTCAAAATATTCTCAGATCTGTCCTTTCATCTGGTATCAGCAATAATCCTATGAGCACAGGGCAGGGGAATGGGTACTATCCACTCTATCCCTCAAAAGTTCTCCACAATATGCCCATTTTTCTCCTATACATACGCTTATATCCCAAACAAGTTACAATTATTCATTCAACAAAGATTTTTTTAAGCTCCTATTATGTGTTAGGCAATGTTTTAAGGCATTAGTTTTCTTCCTCTGTGCTTTCTCAAGGTATTTCTCCTATGTAACTTCTTTTAAGAAATAAGAGTGAAATATTACACAATTTACTCAAAGGTCATCCTAAAACTAAGGCACTTTCTACATGTCTTTTCCTCAGAATTTTCCATTTCTGTATTTATTCACAGTCATGGAAATATCAGTTATCAATCAGCTCAAATTATAACCTCTATGAGAGTGATCCCCAAATTTCCCTCTCTAAATCTAACTTCCTTCTTAAACGCCAGGCTTAAATTAACAAAGCCCTCCCAAGAATCTTCACCTTAAGGTGAATATATCAAAATCTTAAAAAATTAGCAAATATCTCTACAAACACACAGAAACACACACACACACACCCACTCACACTTCTCTTCCTCTTTATTGTTAATGACACCAGCATCCTTCCTAGTGTCCAGACCGGAAATTTCAAAAGCAACTTTGATTCCTTCTTGTGGTGTTATTTTATTTATGTATGTGGTTGTGTTTATATATCTATATTTTAAAAAATAGATTTTCATCCACAGTTCCTGGTTTATAACTCCCATAGCCCTTTGTGTTAGTCTGTCTTTGCATTGCTATAATCGAATACATGAGACTGGGTAATTTATAAAGAAAAGTGGTTTATTTTGGCTCATGGTTCTGCAGGACTATAGAGGAAGCATAGTGCTGGAATCTGCTTTCAGGGAGGCCTCAGGTAGCTTTTACTCATGGCAGAAGGCAAAGGGAGAGCTAGCGCATCCCATGACCAGAGAGAGTAAGAGAAGGAGGGAGGAGCCAGGCTCCTTTAAACCAGTAGTCCCCAACCTCTGGCACCAGGCACTGACTGATTTAGTGGAAGACAATTTTTCCACAGACGGGAGCTCAGAGGAGATGATTTCAGGATGAAACTGTTTCAGTTCAGATCATCAACCATCAGATTCTCATAAGGAACAAACAACCTATATCCCTCACATGAGGAATTCACAACCGGGTTCGCACTCCTGTGAAAATCTAATGCTGCTGCTGATCTAACTTCTGCTGATCAGAAGGTGGAGCTCAGGCAGTAATGCTCACTTGCCTGTGGCTCATACCTCCTGCTGTGTGGCCCAGCTCCTAACAGGTCATAGACCGGTACCAGTCCACGGAGTAGGAGTTGAGGACCGCTGCTTTAAACAACCAGCTCTCGCCTGAACTCATTACCACAGGGGAGGGCAGCAAACCATTCATGGGGGATCCACCTCTATGACACAAACACCCACCAGACCCCACTTCCAACAATGGAGGTCTCATTAAACATGAGATTTGGAGGGGACACACATTCAAACTGTGTCACCCTCCTTATAGTCTTTTATTACAATGTTTGGTGTGTTAGTCCTCAGAAAACAATATCCTTGACCTTCTCCTGCCCTCCTTTCACCTGCACCAAGGCAGGACTCTAATTTTCCTCCACTTTTCTGACTGTGGGTCATAATGCCCTCATTTCAGAGAGGGTCTTGTGGGAGGCCTTCCTATTGGGGAAAGTGCTGATGTCATGAAAATTCCATAAAAAACCAAAAGGACTGGCTTCACAGCTGAACATGTGAAGATGGGCAAGAAGGTGAACAAGAACTCATCGATTTGCTGGGAGAGTGACATACCCTAACTCCATGAAAACAGAGGCTCCTACATTTGGGACCCTTCCAGACCTTGCCCTATGGCATCCAGACCTTGCCATATGGCGGTTTACTTGTATTCTTTAACATACCCTTCATAATAAACCAGTAAACGTGTTTCCCTGAGTTCTGTGAGTAGCTCTAGCAAATTAATCAAACGCAAAGAGAGGGTTGTGGAAACCCCAACTCGAAGCCATCTGGTACAAGTTCTAGATATCCAGACTTACAACCAGTAGGAAGGAGGGCCCAGTCCCCAAGACTGAGCCCTAAGCCATTGGGATCTGACACTATCTCTGGGTAGTGCCAGAAATGAATTGGAGGCCAATCAGCTGGTGTTCACTGAAGAACTGATTGCTTATTTGGCAGGGAGAAATAGCGTGCATTTGGACACAGAAGTCTTCTGTGTTGATTGTTGTGGTGTAAGGGCAGAGGAAAAACAATTTAAGAGTTTTTCCTAAACACTTATCTTCCTAGTCATAAAACTACTGTCAACTTGTATACTGCACCTCCAGTATCACTGAAATTATTCTCCAGTTTTCCATTCCTTCATTCATTACCACCCTCTCCATATCATACTGCTCCAACCCTTCCTACAACTAGGGAAAGATTAATCTCCCTAATAGGCTCTTTCTTCCTAAACCACAGGCTTAATCATTTCACTCTAATAGCTCCAAAGTGTAGAAATGGCTATTCAACAACAAGTACAAACTATTCACCATGGCATTCAAAAGCCACCATGAAAGGCTCCAGCCTCCCTTTTAGCCAAATCAGACTATGTGTAACTCTACAAATACTACCTTGTTTCACCATGTCTTTTCACAATACAGTCATCATTTGATTTTTGCTTGCAAAACACTATTCTATGTTGAGTTCCAGGGAAAAGTATACTTGCATAAAGCCATTTTTAATCCCCTTTAACTGAATACATTACCTTCCCCTGATATGGTTGCTCTGTATCCCCACACAAATCTCATGTTGAACTGTTACTCCCAGTGTTGGGGGAGGGACTTGGTGGTAGGTGATTGAATTATGAAGGCAAATTTCTTCTTGCTGTTCTCGTGATAGTAAATTCCCACAAGATCTGATGTTTTAAAAGTGTGTGGCACTTCCTCCCTTTGCTCTCTCTCTCTCCTGTCACCATGTGAAGACGTTCTTGCTTCCCCTTTGCCTTCTGCCATGATTGTAAGTTTTCTGAGGCCTCTCCAGCCATGACTCCTGTACAGCCTACAGAACTGTGAGTCACTTAAACCTTTTCTTCACAAATTACCCAGACTCAGGTAGTTCTTTGTAGCAGTATGAGATCAGGATCAAACAGAAAACTGGTACGAGAAAAGTGTGGCACCGCTATAAAGATACCTCAAAATGTGGAAGCAACTTTGGAACTGGGTAATAGGCATAGGCTGGAACAGTTTGGAGGGATCAGAAGACAGGAAGATGTGGGAAAGTTTCGAACTTCCTAGAGACTTGCTCAATAATTGTAACCAAAATGCTGATAGTGATATAGACAGTGAAATCCAGGCTGATGTGGTCTCAGATGGAGACAAGGAAGTTACTAAGAACCAGAGTAACGGTCACTCTTGCTATGATTTAGCAGAGACTGGCAGCATTGTGCCCCTGCCCTAAAGATGTGTTGAGCTTTGAACTTGACAGAGATGATTTAGGGTATCTGGCAGAAGAAATTTCTAAGCAGCAAAGCATTCAAGATGTGATTTGGTTTTTTTTCTAAAAGTATATGCCCATATGTATGAAGAAAGAGATGGTATGAAACTGGAACTTATGTTTAAAAGGGAAGCAGAACATAAAAGTTTGGAAATTTTACAGCCTCACCATGCTATAGAAAAGACAAACCCATTTTCTGGGGAGATATTCAAGTCAGTGGCAGAAATTTACATAAATAACAAGGAGCCAAATGCTAGTAGCCAAGACAATGGGGAAAATGTCTCCCAGGGCATGTCAGAGATCTTCATGGCTGCCCCTCCAGTACAGGCCTGGAGGTCTAAGAGGGAAAAATGGTTTCATGGGCCAGTCCCAGAAACCCACTGCTAAGTGCATCCTTGGGATTTGGTGCCCTGCATCCCAGCCACTCCAGCTCCAGCTGTGGCTAAAAGGGGCCAATGTACAACTTGGGGCATGGCTTCAGACGGTGCAAGTCACAAGCCTTGGTGGATTCCACATGGTGTTGGGTCTGTGGGTGCACAGAAGGCAAGAGCAGAGCCTCCACCTTGATTTCAGAAGATGGATGGAAATGCCTGGATGTCCAGGTAGGACTCCACTGCAGGGGCAGAGCCCTCATGGAGAACCTCTACTAGGGCAGTGCAGAGGGGAAATGTGGGATTGGAACCCTCACAGAGAGTCCCCACTAGAGCACTGCCTAATGGAGCTGTGGGAAAAGGGCCATCATCCTCCAGACCCCATAAGGGTACATCCACTGACAGCTTGCACTGTGTGTCTGCAAAAGTCGCAGGCACTCAATGCCAGCCCATAAAAGCAGCTGTGGGGGTTGTATCCTGCAGACCCATGGGGCAGAGCTGCCAAAGGCCTTAGGAGGCCACCCCTTGCATCAGCGTGCCCTGGATGTGAGACGTGGAATCAAGGATTTGGGAGCTTTAAGGTTTCATGACTTCCCTGCTGGGTTTCAGACTTGCACGGGGCCTGTAGCCCATTTGTTTTGGCTATTTCTCCCATTTGCAACAAGAGCATTTACCCAATGCCTGTACTCTCACTGTACCCTGGAAGAAACTAACTTGTTTTTTATTTTACAGGCTCATAGGTGGACGGGACTTGCTTTGTCTCAGATGAGACTTTGGACTTTTGAGTTAATGCTGGAATAAGTTAAGAGTTTGGGGGACTGTTGGGAAGGCATGATTGTGTCTTGATATGTGAGAATAATGAGATTTGGGAGAGGCAGGAAAGAATGATATGGTTTGGC